ATGTCATGCCAGAGTAACTGGTGAGCTCGCCTTTGAAGAGGTAAGGTTCTTGGACCACAATGAGATCAGAATTCCAATCTTCGGCTGTTTTATTTAATAGGGAGGAAGGGGCCTTGGCCCGCTGTAAGTTAATCTGTAGAATTGATATATTCCTTTTGGTATGGCTGTTACGGTTAGAAGCATGAGTTGTAATTAGGTTATGAGCGGTAGTGGACAAACAAGAAGAATTAGGTGACCTCGTAGTATGTAGTGGCTGGTTACAATCCATAGTTGGTCTGTTTTATAGTCTGGGTCTTCATTCTTATTGTAATTGGACAGCGAGGGTTAAAGGCATTGTGGTCTGTGGTATATCTGTCTTGAACTGGAATATCTTTATTGGCCTCCTTGCAGTTGGTGCAACAAGGGGTGTGGTCAAGCCTCTTACATTCCCCAAACCTGTGTCCCTTGGCACAGTGGCTGCACCTCTGCTTGTTTGGGCAGTTGGCCGAAATATGATTATACCCGCAACACTGGAAGCATCGCACCAGTGGGATATAATCATTAACAAAAATATTGGCCCATTGGATAGCTATATGTTTAGTACGTATCAGGGAGTCACGTAGCCTAGGTGTTGTAGACAAGACGATGTGCCTGCAGTTTTCTTTAGTACTGTTTCTGTGCAGGATTGTGCTTACCCTTGTATTGTCAAGAAACTCCTCTTTGGTGGTAGTGTGTAGAAAGTCATTTTGTTCGTACATTATGGGGAGAATTTCAGCCTCGTCAACAGTGATGGGTACGTTGTTAAGAATTACTCTGGGTCTCCTTCCCTCAGATATCTTGCTTTTGATTTTACTTTGAATTTCTGGAAGCTTTTCAATGGCTTCCGCTAAGACTTCGGCCTCCTTGTGGCTATTTGTTCTGAAACAAATGCCATCCCCCTTTACTTTTCTCACTGCTTTAACTTTCACTTTGAGCTCATGTGGTTTTATTTTTTTCATAATTTCACTTTCAATGAGTTGCATGTTAGTAGTGGAATTGCCGCCCTCCTCGTCAGTTTTTGGGTACAGGAGAAGAGCAAAGCTTCCGCCAGAGCCTTCATTTTCTAGTTTGTTTCGGAGAGATTTGTTTATTGTCCTGGTTGTTGAGGTAGGTTTCATATTCAGCCGGGTGATGTCTGCATACGTGGTAGCCGGAACAGCCTGGGCTGTTGGCGGAGAACACTTGGGGTGGTTGGATCTGACCTCACGCAGGATGCCTTGGAATTGACCAAGGCAAGAGAAAAGGCAAGTAAGCCTTTCCCGAACTTCCTTGCGCTCCTTAGTGGATATATTCGATTTATAAGACTCTGGCACTAGGTCTAGAATTCTGACAAAGTGCTCATTGGCCTCTGCGAGAATAGTTTCCTCGAGGGAATTGACATCGTCCCGAGGTACGGTAACACCTTCCATATTGAAGATACAAGCAGTACTGAACAATGTGTATAGTCCAAGCCACTTAACCGATGCAATAAGTCAAAACAAAAAGTCCCCAACGGAATAGCAACAGTACACAGTACGCCGAGTGGCTACCTCCACCACGTGGTAGGGAACAAAGCCCTTTGTTCAGAGTGAAAAGGTCACTGCGATATATGGAAACGAGTCGTGGCCACTGCGATATAAGGAAACGAGTCGTGTTTCCGCAGTTGATGAGTATCTCACCGTCAAAATAATTATATTTATAATTATAATAACAATTCAAAGAGTCTATACCCGCAGACAAAAGAACGAAATAAAGAGCTAAACACGTTGGAGAACTTGCCCAAAACCGAAATTTCGGGCCTCGAAAACTCGAACGAAAGTCCACCGAATATAAAAATAACAATACTAACCGAGAGCGCTTGTCCTCCTGAATTTAGCGATAAATAATTTACACCTTCATAATACACTTTATGTCCAAGAAATCGCAATTAAACACGAAGCACATGTACAACACCACTTAACACTTCCCCCTATCACCAGAATGATCATTGCATATAGTCATCCAACAGCTTGTTGAGGTATATTTGAGGTCAGAAGCCTTTGTAAACTTTCTCACTCTAGAGGTTAGGCATGTGGCATAGTGACTAGTTTGATCACCTTTACCGATAGATTTATATGTTATCCGCATTTAAGCATTTAATCATTTTATTCTGTACGTATGCTCCTGTAAATTATTATTACATGGTAGTTATATAATAAACTCCTTATTTGTTTGTTTAACCTGTGAACCTGTCTATCATTGCTCACACAGACACCCATTGACTTTCTCAACCCCCTCGTCACTCAATAAAAAGCCATCCAGTGACGCTGTGAGCAGATCTCACTGATCCGATGATTAGAGGGCTCTGACCCCTTGCCCATATCATCACACATTAAACTAAGTCAAGAATAAGAAATATAACATTTAGACTGGTAAAGAAAATAGTTGTTTATTTTGCCATGTTGATTAATTTATTATTTTCCATATCTGTTATAAACTGAATTACTTATTAAAAAAGAAACACTTCTATTAAGTAGGGATTGTATACCGGTTTACCGATTTACCGGTTAACCGATAAATTGACAAAAAAACATTCAGTAAATGAAAAATGAAATTCGGTAAATGAAAAATTCATACTAGAAATTTTTATGTAGAAAATATTGTGTTTATAGATATTTAAAAGGGCTAAAGGGACATTGAAAAAAAAGACAGATAAGTGTAAGCAACAATATACCTAATTATTAATTTTATGTGAGATATTTTTTGTTTAATTTTAATTTAAACTTTCTTGGGTTTGAGAGGCACTGTAAATTGTACAGAAAGCTCTAGTTAGCATATGTGATTTGTGCTCTGCCGTTTTTTGAGATTTTTAAAGGTTTAAAATCTTTACAATCAACGTTTTTGTTAAAGATTAAGTAAATATTTTTTTTTTTTAATATTTAAAAATAATAATACGTAAATATTTCACGTACTTTTTAAATTAATAGCAATTTTGAATACACCACATTATGACAGGACATTAAAGCAATATTATTGCAAAATAACATTAAAATTTGTACCTTAAATAAATTTTTTACTTCTAACAACTGTTTAAAATAATTAAATACAAATATTTATTACAAGATTCTAACATTATGCCTTACGATTGTGCAAAATATGTATTATTCTAACCTTATTTTCGTGGGGAATCCCCATTACTCTCACGAAAAGAACTTTCTTTAATTTTAGATTGTAGAACCCGGTGGAATAGCTTACTAAACATGCTGGAAAGATTTTTATTACTTAAAGATGATGTCCGAAAAAGTCTAGAAACTTAACCTAACCTGGATTATTTTGTACAAAAATTAGATCAAAATTAGGAGATAAGACTTTAAATAATTTAAGTTTCTTGAGAAGTTATTTTTTAAAAAATGGTAATCAGTAAAATGGTATTAGGTACTATATATTATTTCTGTTTTATTTTTATTTTTCTGTATTATTTTATTTATGTTTCTAAAAGTTATTATTATAGTTTGTTTAGAATAACACTTTAATTTTTATATTTTTTATATTCTATACCTTTGAAATAGAAAATGTGAAATGGAAATCAAAATTACTTATATTTTTTATCACCTTAATTTTATTTTTCAGGAAAAAAATTTACCGGTAATTTACTGGTAAACCGGTATTCTAATTTTCATTTACCGAATTACCGGTAAATGAAAAAGTCGGTAAATTTACAATCCCTACTATTAAGTCAGCATTCATTTGCTCTTAAAATTATTAAATCAGATTTAATAATTTTAAGAGCAAAAAATAAATGCCCTACTGAAGCTTGGTTGGTGGTAATGCTGTGACAATCAATGCTGTATTTTGCATAATGTCTGGATAGTGCAGTATTGCCGTTTTAACATCCAAATTTGAAGAATGGTCAATGTGATTTACTTTTTCCAGTGCATTGTCCAGTATTCCAGTCCAATCATTTTTAAATTTTGTAAGATTTCCTTTTCTGTCTGTGCTCATATTAGAACTCAAGCTTAATTTGCATAGAGAAAAGTTTTATAAAAAAAAATTGTGAACACTAATAACAAGTAAAATATAGCATTAATGCCCCTTTATACACAAGCTACCGTGCTAAATTTCGTTTCTTAAACTTTACTCAATCTGATATATTGTTTAATATCACAAACCAGAGAATAAAAAAATTAAACAAATTAGATGCCAACACACATACACAAATTTCCCCCTTTATTTGACACCTTTTGGGTTCAGGAAGTCTCCAAACGTGTAGATTTGCAAAAAACTCTGAGGGTCAAATTTGATGCAATTTCAATACTTTTCCGTTTTATATACATAAGTTGGAAAAGTAAAAAGGAGTTGGAATTGACAGATTTTTGACGACTCCAACTCCGACTAAAACACCAAAACTCCGACTCCAGAGCCCTGGTGATGAAGTAGATTATCTGTCAATTTTAACTTTTAGTTATAAATTCATCAGATAGCTTTTCTTTTGTCTAAAGTCACCAAGAGCATCTTTAGAAAAAGTAAAAAGTCTTTTATGCACTGCAGACATTCATCTGTCATTGAAATTTTTCTGAAAGCTGCCAAGGACATGTATACACAAGATTCATCTTTAATTTTCTCCTGTTCATTTTCTATGCATTAATCCATACTTTAATTGATATTATTATACACTTCTACTTAAACATTTACCTTAAAAGTAGATAAGTTACCAAAACTTTCTCCTTTTTTATATAACAACTCTCAGAAAGCTATTTGAAAATGTTCTGTTTAGAAGCTGAGTAATTTACTTTCAAACCCATGTTGATGAATTTTTATTTATTTTAGTATTTATTTGTACTTGTACTTTTAATATTTTCTCATATGCATTTTGGCATTCCATTTCCACTTCATTTATTTTATAATTACACCTGCAGTTAACCATATAAAGTTATATTTGCAGTGCAAGAAAATGTGTAACAAAACAAAAATAAATGAGATCTTTATTTTAAAATAATTATGTTTAAATTACTCTAAATACTTACAGTAGCCATATCTTTGAGTAACTGAATAATTACTTCAGCTAACTTTCGAGCCATGCACCCTCGTAACCACCATCTCGCTCCAATATAGTCTCTACAAATGTACAGAGAATTATATAAAGAATGAAAAGATACATCATATTGATAAATAACACTTATGATGAAAATTAAAAATGACAATTTTATCAACAAATGATTATAACTATATGAGTTTTTGTTTTTTCTGTAAAAATTTTGTAAAATATAAATATAAAAAATTTCAAGTAAAAAAATAAACAACACTAATTAAGCTAACAGTTTTGGCTAAAATTAAAATTCAAAATCTGAAATTTTCAAAAATTGAATCTAAATTTCCTGAGGAAAATCAATTAATTAAGAAGACTGAAAACGTTTGAGAAATAAACTTTTTTGTGTTTTTATCATCAAGACTAGGTGCATAGATAGACACTAGGCATTGCTGCATCATCTTTATTTGGAATCTTCTATAGGCCAATACGCATTTCAGGCGTAAGCCCCTCATCTATCAGCATGACTTCCAGGATTTCCGATAGGTGGTGTTGACACATATACATTCTGTTTAAAATCACTTATTTACAGTTAAAATTGTTTTACTGTTAAAATATTACTATAGTTTAAAATATATTTACAATCAAAAGTACTATCATCAGGTCAGTCCATAAGTTCATGTGTATTTTATGACTTTGAGAAAAATCTTGTTTTGCTGTTAAAAATGCCAGTCTAATGTGATACTTTTTACCACTGAAGTGTTAAATTGGATCTCATTCATATAATACTGTTCAGAATTGGGAACATTTCAGTTGTTTATTTTCGTTAAAATGGAAGTAACAGATGAATATAAGAGACNCAATACGCATTTCAGGCGTAAGCCCCTCATCTATCAGCATGACTTCCAGGATTTCCGATAGGTGGTGTTGACACATATACATTCTGTTTAAAATCACTTATTTACAGTTAAAATTGTTTTACTGTTAAAATATTACTATAGTTTAAAATATATTTACAATTAAAAGTACTATTACAGTTAAGGTTTCTTGACTTAACATCGAACATCTTCTGGCACATACTCTTGACATCCCAAAACATGTATTGGCCTATAGGATATTCCGAATAAAGATGATGTAGAAATGTCCAGTGTCTATCTATGCACCTAGTCGTGATGATAAAAACACAAAAATGAAGAAGACATGGTTTCAGAATACACAAATAAACTTTTACTGAACCATAAAGGTAGTTGTACTGTTTATTAATATCTCAGTTACCAAAGTAGTATAAATGTAACTATAATCTAGTTACAGTTTGTATATTCAATTTTCAATATTCTAGTCTTTAGGCACACGTTCTAGTTGGCCTAATTTTATATTTAAAAGTTTGCACTTCTAAAATAAATAATGCATATTTACTAGTGGGTATTTACAAATAAAAACATATATGCATTTTAAAATTCATTTCTTTAAAAAACTCTTTTATAAAAGTCAACTTCATCTACAATCAGAAAAAACAAATAATATGTTAAAGGTTCAAATAAACTGAAAATTTCTTTTATTAACTAAGTTACATTTCAAAGGTTTTTAAAGTTATACATCTTTTTTTCTGGACTATTCAATATTAAATTTTATTTATTTTTAATTATTAAATCTAACATAAAATGGTGGTTTAACAACCCAAATTGTATTAATTAATTAGCCTTAATTTATCCTGATAGGAATTCAGATGTTTGATTTTCTTTTTATTCTTTATTTCTAATCATACATTATAATAATTGAATTTTTAAAATCAGCTAGATGTACCGCAATTACAAAGAATATGTCTTCAAAGTTCAGTTAAATTTCATGTATTGCTGTTTTAGTGCTTACAGGACAAAATCATCTTATAAATTTACTAAGACTTTGTTGCTGTTGTTTTTTCATTTTATAATATTTAAATTAATCATCTTATATTATATTTTAATTTTATAAAATTTAACAAAAGAATTACAAACCTTGGATGAATTGATGTTGCTAATGTGATAGTTGTAACTCCTTTTCCACTGGCATTTGTAGAACCTTTAACTTTCATTTGTACAGTTAATGCCTTAGCGATGCAGGAAAGGAATACATCTAGAATTCCCATGCGATGCAGATCATATGGCTGCTCTGCTTGCTGGGAAAGTTTGCTTACTTCAGAGACTATACTGAAATCTGTTGGAGGTAACGATGGTACACCAAGTATTGATGCTAAAGTTTGTGGTGATACTTCAGGTAAAACTCTCCTTAATAATGAAGTAACCTTTAAATAAATAACTACAAATTATTAATACATTTCAGCAAGAAAACTTTGAATCTTTCAATTTAATCAATCAATGCAATTAATTCATTTCAAATTCACAAATAGAAAACAGAAAATTCTCAGCATCTTTGCATTTTCTCCTTTCATTCCACAGATGTGACAAAATGGATTCAATTTTTATCTTGAAACTCTGTGTTTTTTGTATTTCTTCTGCTTGCAAAGTTCAAGTAAATTTTCACCCCTTATTATTAATTGAAACTTAATTAATATTGAATCTATTTTAAACATACAATGCTTTTAATTGAAATGCCAGGGTCAATTTCTAATGAATGAACTGTGCAGACATGTAATTGTTGAGATTCATTTTATGTGGTTTAACTCTTTAAAACTCTGAAAATTTTTTACTCCTCTGCACCTGGATACAAAATTGTTTTTACCCATCATGCTATGCTTTAGTGGCAAGAAATTGCATTTTAATTCTTCAAATAACAGCTTGAGTTCACATAATATGTTATTAAAAGTAAAATTTTCATATTTTATAATAAAGATATATTAATAAATAAATATATTTGTTTTTGTAATTTTAAAATATCATTAAATATAAATTAATTGAAAACATTCATTTTTTGTTCATTACTTTAGTAAAATAACAATTAATAATTTTACCTGTCGCTGAACTCGCGCAGATCCTGTATGTAATAAACTGAAAAGATCACGTAATAAACCAGCCTGCTGTGCCAAATATGTTCTTCCAACACTAGACCCACTTAAAGCAAGAACCATTGAAAGCATTTCAAAACAATATGCATCAGATGATTTTGGCAATTCTTCGACAGACTGAGATTTACTGCAGAGAAGAACTTCCCATTCTTCACGCACTCTAGCTGCTTCTTTTCTAATAGCGGCAACAATATGAGCACAAACCTAAATTTAAAAAACATTTATTTAATTATTTATTATACAGTTTTATTCTTAATTAATATTTGAAGAAAAAAGAGAAATTGATGTTTTTATTATACATAGCAATCCACAGTCTTATCCATTTTAAAATTTAATAATGTCGATTCTATCCGAGATTTTTAGGTACCTGTACAATGCATTGGAAAAGTAATTTATTCTAATTTTTATTAAAAAAATAATTATTAAATTTACTTTAATTTTCTGAAAACCTTAGTATTAAAGAGGTTTCAGAAAGCTTTGGCTATAGCAAAACAATTTTCAACTGGAAATTATAAAAAATGGCAGATATTTCAAGGATATTGGTGCTCCCTCAAACTAAAAAATAATGATAAACTGACCTAATAGATGCATAAAGTTTTCTTATGATTGCATATAACTACAGCAATGCATTTGAGAATTAATGATTCCAAATGAACTGCAGGATTACTACTCATACAGTTCAATTTGGCATCCTTACAATAATAATCCTGCAAGATATATTTAATGATTAAATTTAAAGCAATTTAGCCATAAGTGGGTAGTATTATGCCATCTAACAATAAACTTTAATAACTGATTACAGCAAGAAACACCTCGTAAAAATATATTTCAAAAGTCAAAAGTGCCATAGCAATGATTTTGGTACTCACTTATATTGTTTTTTAATATGAGATTGTCTTTTGAATGCCCTGAAATATCATCATACCAAATTTAGTTACATTTGGACTGCTAAATAACTTGCTTTAGATGGCACTGAATAGGAGAACTTTAATTACAACTACTTGATGATATATTTAATTTTAAAAAATGACTTAACCATTACAGCAAACTAAACTTTAAAAGTTAGATAGCAAAATAATGAAGCAAAGCCAAGGAATCAATGAAAACAGGATTAATTTTAACAATGAATATTTCTATACGTAACATTATAATGAGTTTTTTTTAATGATTTTTAAATCTTCATTTCTGTCAAAACATTTTACTATTTATTTTTTTTTTGTAAGAAAAAATAATTTTGCAACTGAAAATTTTTTGTTAATATATCTCATTATAGTGTATGTTAAAATGTACATGTGTATGTTAAGTCAAAATATTAAAAATCACCTGTTTTTGTAAATGAGTCAATTTACTGCGACTGAATAAAATTCCAACCATATGCTCCTTTAGATCGTTGCTTGTTTCGACTCCATGCACTTGTCCAGCTCTTTCTAAATTGTTTCCTATTAATAATTCCTTCTCTTCCAATCCTTCAGCTTCACCAGAAACTAATTTCCCAAAGACCTATATAAAGAATAAGTGTATATTTGTATAATACTTAAAAAGCTTTTATGAATTTTATGAATCATTATATCTCATTAAAAATAATAAATTTAAAAGTCAAGATAGTTTCTAAATATTTCTTCAACCACAAGTGTTTCTTAAATGTACTTTATTGAGATTCAATAAAGTACTTTTAAGAAGTTATTTAGTTAAAATTATATATTTTAATTCGGACATTTCCTTAATGCTGAATTAACATATTAAAATTCTGAATTATCTATCTATCTAACTAATCATTACAGAATTAAATCTTATTTTTTTAATCTTGACAATGTGTTAATATATGTGAAAACATAAGAATTATAATATTAAATTAACTTTTTAAACTTTTTACAGTTTAAAATTTCTGTAATAAAAAATATTGAATTACCTGTGATGTTAATAATCGAAAAACTTTAAGTGTTTCTGTTTCACAGTTTTTCTGTTGTATTTGAGATGCCGTTGAGGATTTCACAGCATTTGAACTGTCTCCAAATGACTGCCCCAGAACTTTTACTTGTCTCAGTCTTAATGTATTATCCGGTCCTTTCAGCTCTAACTTGATATAATTATGCCTAACATCTGGTAGAACACAGCTCACCCAGCCAGTGTAGCGATTTTCAACATCCACCTTCATCAAAAAAATTTTTCAATTTAATTATTAAATCCCATCATAAACATCAACTACTAAAACTTAACTACATTAATCCTATTATAATAAACAAAAAAATCACCATTATAAAAATAAAAATGAGCAAGATTATTGTGACATTGTCACAATGCCAACAATGTCAGAGTGCAATTTTTAATCATACTTTTAACTTATTTAATTTAAGATATATGCTCTTAATCTCAAATTAGTAGTGTCTTGCACGTGTATATCATACTTTTCCTGATAACAACAGAGTCATGGCGGTCATCTATGTAACTCGGTTCTGGGAAAATTTTTAATTGAAATCACGTGACTTCTGATTTGCACCGGAACTTTCTTTACAGTTAATCTGTCTCCCTGCCCATAAGTTTTCCACATCTAATCTGAAGTTTCATCTCTCTAACATTGTTCTTGAGATTAAGAAAGAACAGATGATAGTGAGAATTTATAGGTCTATAATTAATCGGACTGCAATTTGAAAAAATTGAAGTGCTCTTCTGCATTTTACTTTTGATAATTCCAAATTCTTGGAATAGTTTTAAAATCTCTGAGACAGGCCCCTAAAAGAGGCCAAAAACATTTATTCCATTAAAGTTTTTTGCTAGAAAAAGTACAAATGATGTTAAGTTTCTTATTGTAGAAGTGTTCCAGCTTCTCAAGAGTATTATTTCTATACTTGTCATTTTGCATATTATAGGAAGTCTGTTCAAAAAAAAAAAAACAGACTTTTGTCAAACAAACTTTATTACAGTGATTACAATATTATACATGTTTGTCTCCTTTAAAGTGCTACCTCTGCTGCAATGCACTATTTCCAACATTTTTGCCATTGTTGAAATGCTTCCTGGAACATGTTTTGTGAGATGGTGCATAGCTATCTCTGCAAGTTCTGTTGTATCTAATTTACACTTTAAAAATGATGCCCTTTCAGAGTGAATTTCAACTTTGAAAACAGAAAAAAAGTTTGCAGAGGCCAAGTCTGGAAAATACAGGGGATGGGAAAGGATGGCATGTTGTCATGACACAACCAGCTCAGGTCTCTGCTGGTGTATACATCTTCCCTCAAATGCCTTAAAACTTCTACATAGAACTCCTTGTTAACAGTTTGACCTTGTGGCATGAATTCATGATGGACTATGCCTCGATAATCAAAACAACAATCAACATCAGTCATCTCAATCTTGACTCTTCCTCAATTGATGTACTGCCCGATTAAGAATGCTTAAACCACTCATGACACTGCAAATTGCTCATTGTCATTTGCAGTGTCATGAGTGTGGGCTATGCTTTGGGCTCCTTGTAGGCCCGAAGCACAGCCCACATTTTCAGTAAAAGTTCTGCCAATTATAAAGCAAAATTTCACACAAACATGTTGCTCCTTAAAGTCTTTCATCTTCACTTTGCAGAGCGATGACTGCACAAGTTCGCTTTAGATCACCAACTGCTCAGAGTACTACAACATGCCAAAGTGGCATTGTGTTACTGAAGTTTGCCTCTACTTAGCACCATTTGCTGGAGTTTGATCGGTGCAATGGTTTGCATTCTATGACAAAAGTCCAATTTATTTTTGAACAGACCTTGTAGTCAAAATATTAAAAATCACCTGTTTTTGTAAATGAGTCAATTTACTGCGACTGAATAAAATTCCAACCATATGCTCCTTTAGATCGTTGCTTGTTTCGACTCCATGCACTTGTCCAGCTCTTTCTAAATTGTTTCCTATTAATAATTCCTTCTCTTCCAATCCTTCAGCTTCACCAGAAACTAATTTCCCAAAGACCTATATAAAGAATAAGTGTATATTTGTATAATACTTAAAAAGCTTTTATGAATTTTATGAATCATTATATCTCATTAAAAATAATAAATTTAAAAGTCAAGATAGTTTCTAAATATTTCTTCAACCACAAGTGTTTCTTAAATGTACTTTATTGAGATTCAATAAAGTACTTTTAAGAAGTTATTTAGTTAAAATTATATATTTTAATTCGGACATTTCCTTAATGCTGAATTAACATATTAAAATTCTGAATTATCTATCTATCTAACTAATCATTACAGAATTAAATCTTATTTTTTTAATCTTGACAATGTGTTAATATATGTGAAAACATAAGAATTATAATATTAAATTAACTTTTTAAACTTTTTACAGTTTAAAATTTCTGTAATAAAAAATATTGAATTACCTGTGATGTTAATAATCGAAAAACTTTAAGTGTTTCTGTTTCACAGTTTTTCTGTTGTATTTGAGATGCCGTTGAGGATTTCACAGCATTTGAACTGTCTCCAAATGACTGCCCCAGAACTTTTACTTGTCTCAGTCTTAATGTATTATCCGGTCCTTTCAGCTCTAACTTGATATAATTATGCCTAACATCTGGTAGAACACAGCTCACCCAGCCAGTGTAGCGATTTTCAACATCCACCTTCATCAAAAAAATTTTTCAATTTAATTATTAAATCCCATCATAAACATCAACTACTAAAACTTAACTACATTAATCCTATTATAATAAACAAAAAAATCACCATTATAAAAATAAAAATGAGCAAGATTATTGTGACATTGTCACAATGCCAACAATGTCAGAGTGCAATTTTTAATCATACTTTTAACTTATTTAATTTAAGATATATGCTCTTAATCTCAAATTAGTAGTGTCTTGCACGTGTATATCATACTTTTCCTGATAACAACAGAGTCATGGCGGTCATCTATGTAACTCGGTTCTGGGAAAATTTTTAATTGAAATCACGTGACTTCTGATTTGCACCGGAACTTTCTTTACAGTTAATCTGTCTCCCTGCCCATAAGTTTTCCACATCTAATCTGAAGTTTCATCTCTCTAACATTGTTCTTGAGATTAAGAAAGAACAGATGATAGTGAGAATTTATAGGTCTATAATTAATCGGACTGCAATTTGAAAAAATTGAAGTGCTCTTCTGCATTTTACTTTTGATAATTCCAAATTCTTGGAATAGTTTTAAAATCTCTGAGACAGGCCCCTAAAAGAGGCCAAAAACATTTATTCCATTAAAGTTTTTTGCTAGAAAAAGTACAAATGATGTTAAGTTTCTTATTGTAGAAGTGTTCCAGCTTCTCAAGAGTATTATTTCTATACTTGTCATTTTGCATATTATAGGAAGTCTGTTCAAAAAAAAAAAAACAGACTTTTGTCAAACAAACTTTATTACAGTGATTACAATATTATACATGTTTGTCTCCTTTAAAGTGCTACCTCTGCTGCAATGCACTATTTCCAACATTTTTGCCATTGTTGAAATGCTTCCTGGAACATGTTTTGTGAGATGGTGCATAGCTATCTCTGCAAGTTCTGTTGTATCTAATTTACACTTTAAAAATGATGCCCTTTCAGAGTGAATTTCAACTTTGAAAACAGAAAAAAAGTTTGCAGAGGCCAAGTCTGGAAAATACAGGGGATGGGAAAGGATGGCATGTTGTCATGACACAACCAGCTCAGGTCTCTGCTGGTGTATACATCTTCCCTCAAATGCCTTAAAACTTCTACATAGAACTCCTTGTTAACAGTTTGACCTTGTGGCATGAATTCATGATGGACTATGCCTCGATAATCAAAACAACAATCAACATCAGTCATCTCAATCTTGACTCTTCCTCAATTGATGTACTGCCCGATTAAGAATGCTTAAACCACTCATGGCACTGCAAATTGCTCATTGTCATTTGCAGTGTCATGAGTGTGGGCTATGCTTTGGGCTCCTTGTAGGCCCGAAGCACAGCCCACATTTTCAGTAAAAGTTCTGCCAATTATAAAGCAAAATTTCACACAAACATGTTGCTCCTTAAAGTCTTTCATCTTCACTTTGCAGAGCGATGACTGCACAAGTTCGCTTTAGATCACCAACTGCTCAGAGTACTACAACATGCCAAAGTGGCATTGTGTTACTGAAGTTTGCCTCTACTTAGCACCATTTGCTGGAGTTTGATCGGTGCAATGGTTTGCATTCTATGACAAAAGTCCAATTTATTTTTGAACAGACCTTGTACATATATATATTCTTTTAAATAATTAAAATTTATTCTTTTTACAATAAGTTTAATAATTTTTTATGAAGGAAAAAAGGACATTTTACCTGTTTTAATTTTTTTAATTCTTCTGAATTATTTCCTGATCTGAATATAATATTTGAAACTTTATTCTAAAAGTAAGAAAAATAAAAATATTTATTTAAAATTGTAAATTTCACAAAAGAATTATTATTATTACTATTTTAACTAACAATTTAATTACAATAAAAATTAAAATGTAAAATATAAATTCTTGAATACAACAACTCTCAGTTATTAACAATAAATTTGAAATATCTAATGTAAGAATTTTTTAGTTAACTGTTATATATAGTATATTTAAAATAAATTTTTTAAATTAAATTTTATACTTACTCCTAAATCTCTACAATTATCAATGTGAACATAAACAGTTTTAGGTCTAGCTTGTATACTACATATCAGAGTGAGACTCTTTGTCTTATTTCGATCTTCATCTCCGCTTTCCCAAAATGTTTCCGTCGAATTGTCGGTTAAACTGTTAACCATAGCTTGACGACTAGAAGCTTTGATATCGACTAATGATGTAACGTCTTTCAAAGATTCGACGACTGCTGTCACCTAAAGTATGTTATGTGTAATTTTAAATAAAACATCATTTATCTACATATAAATAATTGTATATTAGCATTTATTTTTATTTAAAAATTTTTAATAAATGCTAACTTTTTCAATTAATTTAATCTTACAATACAATGCTGTCATCATAATAAATAGTTCAGTCACAGATGTTTATTTATATACTGTTAAATATTAAATTTATGGAAGTTTTTCAGCTTTCTTTCAGGAAAAAAATATCATCTTAAAAATTAAAAGTTTATTAACTTCAAATGGGAGCTACAACAAATTCCAAAACTTATTAATCATTACTAATTAATTAATCATAATGAATTACTTTTTAATATTTCAATCAAACATTATTACATTGTAATTTGTCAAAAGAGTATTATGGAGCAGATCATTGTATAAGGTTTCTTTTTTTTTATCTATCTTAATTACAAAAATAAAAACTTTGCCTAAAAGTTTTATATTTTGTATAGAAAGTATCTTGTAAAATATGTTGTAGATCAGTGATAAGCAAACTTATCTGAATGCGAGTCAGAAGTGCATTTCATAGTCTTCCAACAGGCTACATGATTTTCCTCTTGTGGAGTTACAGGCTTTAAGCATGCCAAGTACCAACAATTCTCTGTAACTACGAGTTTATTAAATACTCAAATAATATACTTTAGTGACATGCAAATTAATATTATTATTCTCATATTTTTTATTACTCAAATTTAGTATAAACATTCTTCATCACAAAAATCAACTTAATTACAGTTGAATAATGACATGAGATAGAAAAAGCAAAATAAAATTATGTTGCTAAAGCTCTAGGGCAACAACACATTAGGATCTTGGAGTGAACAGCTATTTATCTCAGTGTTAGATGTGTATTCCATACTAGAAATATACTGCATTGTCAACAATTATCTCTGAACCAATATAATAGAAAATGTTAATGTAAATAAATATCACATAAAGCTAGGTTCATAATGGCATACAAACCACTACAAAGTAGATACAAACTGACAGTTTATCCCTGTTCAGCAAGTATTTGACCAGTTTATTATGAGTTAAAGTTCAATAAAAGTTGAGATATTCTCAACTTTACTGAACTTCAGTTAATTTGACCAATCAATTTTTAACAAATAGTGTTCAAAACCTTTTTAATCAATCATATCCTAACTTAGTTTGTGTTACAGTACAATGCTGACAATATCTCATTTTGGGTTAGTGTTCATTTTGTTCATTTGTAGTGGTTCATACGACAATGTAAACCAAGCCCATGTTTATGTAGAAAGAAATATAATCTTCTGTTTCAAACAATTTTGCAGGTGCTTCAAATAAATATTTACTTGACAATTAAATTTCTTTTATTAAAGATTTTCTCAATTCAAAACTTGACTTTCTCTATTTAAAGATGATGATTTTTAAACATTATAACATTTATAATATGAATAAATATTACCTGACTGCTATCTGCGGATGTATTTCCTACATCTTCACCTTCTTCTTCCGTTCTTGATAAAATCTTGCTAATATTTGAAAAGACATGACTTCTGTGTAAAAAACTATGATCAGAAGGCTGAAATTTTAAACACCAACATCTCATTGCCATTTGTTGTAATGCTGAACCCATAGGAAGAAGCATCATTAAATCTGATATAGTCTGCAACAATGCATGAAATGTTTGAGGAAGTGGATGAGCTGCTTCTCCAGCAATCGTTATATCTGATAATGGATGTTCGCATACACTTAGATCTTTATCCTGCAATTAAATAAAATTTAATTTTATGTAAATATGTCGTTTGTAAGTGACAATTACACTTATTTCCTTAATACAATTTTTCATTTTAATATCTTTTTATCTGCTGTTATTCTAAATTAATAACAGGTTTCCAAATTTTATAAATACAATAATCATATATACAGATTTAACTACTGCAGCTTCTATACTCAGATTAACTTGACGTAAGCCAGCTTCTTTATAAAGAAAACCTAATGAATCTTAGTATTTATAACATTTGTTCTTAAATTAACAATGAAAATCATAAACTGTTTTGTATATTATCGACCAGCTGGTGCTTGTTTCTAGGAAGGAAATCAGATAAAGTGTAAGAACTTATTATTCTTTAACACTGAAACTGCTGTACAAATTGATAATAAAATGATCTTTCGTATGTTTCCAGCAATGCCATTGATATAAACAAAAACCAGCAAACGTTTTCAACCTCATTCAGAGGCCAGTGTCAGGCTTCTATAGAAAATTTTTAGCAGAACTTTTAAAATATGGATAAAATCGTTTCACATTCTTTGCCAAAAGTTCTGCTAAAAATCTTCTATATAAATCTGATGCTGGCCCCTGAACAAGATCAAAACGTTTGCTGCTTTTTGTTTATATTGACAGCAATGCTGGAAACATACGAAAGGCCAGTTTATTATCAATTTTCAGATAAAATGAAAACTGTTTTAGAATTTAAAATATTCAAATTTATAAAAAAAAAAAAAATAATTCAGTCAGTATTTTGTTTAAAATTCAATCTAATTACACTTCTAATAAACAAGAAAGGGATAGAATAGACATTCAAGAATATATCTAGAAAATAAGGTATTTTAATTGGATCACTTTGAATTTAAGAAATACCCACTTTTAAAAATAGATTTTAAAGAAAAAGTTACTGATAATTAGAAATAAATCAAACAATATAACCAGATTCTTATCAGATCACAATATGGCTATTTAAATATTAAGATAACTAATAATATTTACTACTCAATCTTGCAAATGCAAAAGTACCAGCAAATATTAAGATACCAAGCAATTTTAGACTAGATGTAGGCATTAAAGCCACCATCTTGCATTGAATTTTAATTATTAGAAATAAATAAATAAATTTGCTTCTAATAATGAAACTTAACACAAAATGAATTTAACAAAATTTAACACAAAAAATAAATGAATTAATTTAGAACACATATATAAGCTTTCCAAAGCTTGATATTTTATAATGAAACCAAATGATTGCTGGATTTAAATTGGGCTATTTATCACTACTATTAATAATTAAATATTGAGTAATATGGTACTAGAGGTAAGCGTTAGGTGCCATCTCTTATTAAATTTATTCTGAAATATTATAAATTATTTAATAAATATTAATTTAATTAAATTATTAAATTTAATAAGCGATGGTGCGTAACACCTACCTCTAGTACTGAATAAAGTATTTAATGATTAAAAGTAGTGGTAAAGTAATCTGAATTAAATTCGGCAATCGTTTGGTTTAATTTAGAATATTCTGGATGGAAAAAACAATTCTGAAATGTAACTCAAATCCACAACTTCTGCTTACTATGCAGACCTCTATCCAAATCAGAATCAGAGCCTCTTCCTTAAGAGGCTCTGATTAACTATATTCCATATCTAGTCTCGGATTTCATCTATTTAACTCCATTCTTGAGATTAAGGAAAGAAAGACAGACGAACAACAGTGGCAATTTATAGGTTATAGCCCAATTATTCTAAATCATTACTTAGATTTAAGGACTAGAAATTTTCAAAATTAATTTAAAAAAAAAAAAAACTTTAACTGTAATATATATAATTATATATCAACTAAAATAATTAAATGTGAATACTTGAATTACAACTATGTTCTTAATGCAAATATAAACATCCAAACTCAATAGTTAGTATTAAAGCTAAATGATTGCCAAATTATATCAGGCTATATTACTACTACTAAAATAATAATTATAATTGAATTAATTATTAAAATATTAATTTAATTACAGTTGTTAAATTTAGCAAGAAATGGCACCTAATACCTACTTTTAGTGACAAATTACTTAGCATTTTATTAAAATAATTGTAGTAATATAGCCTGATATAATATGGCAGTTGTTTCACTTTGGATTTTTATTTTTATGTTGTTTATATTATGCTGTTCAAAATCTTTATCTTAAAATTAAAAATAATAAATTAAAGATTATTTTCATTGTTAGCTTATTTTAATCATAATAAATGTTATTAAATATATATACAGTAGAACCTCGATTATCCGCCCTAATTGGGGACTGGGGTTGGTCGGATAATTGAAAAGTCGGATAACCGAAAAGTATGAAAAAATCCATTATTAGTGTAGTATATTATTATATCCCATGTAATTAGTATATTAGTATATCGCTATTAACCTATTTTGCGTTGAATTTTCATCGATGTTAAGCCTAACAAAAATTTTTTAAAATAATAATCGTCGCTATTGTATCGTTAAAAATTAGAAAATTAAGCTTCGTTTAAATACTGGCTCCCTTTCATGGTCGAATGAGTGTTGCCAGCTAAAACACGTAAAAATAATATTAAAGTAGCCAAGACATAGCCAAATATTGTAGCGCCACATCACTAGCGGACATTTGAAATTTGACGACTAGGACGGTTGGTTAACCGAGGGGTCGGTTGATCGGGGGGCGGATAATCGAGGTTCTACTGTATTATGTAATTTGGATTAAAGGTAGACAATTAAGTTGCCATCTTGTATTAAATTTAATAATTAGAATGAAATTAATTAATTTAGAATATTCTGAAAGAAAAGATCAATCCAAAGAAAGGCTTGAACCCATAACTTCTGCTTACTGTGCAGATACGAGTCTCATGATCCCTACGGCTATATCATCTAAATTAATTAGTTTGGAAGTGAAAATCAGAAGTCTAAGTAGAGTAATTTGCAATACATCTGCATAAGAATGTAATTTAATTATTCAAACTCTATTTTAAGACAAAGAATATTATCCATAAGGAGCAGCCAGTTTATTTCCTCTAGTGCAATTCTATTGAGTATATTTAAGGTTAGTAATCTGTTGATAACCGGTAAATTAAACTGAAATAAATGCAGTGGTACCTTGGTACTAAAATTCAATTCATTCCTAGAAGGTATTTAAATTCCAAAGCTATTCTTTCCATAAGAAATAATGTAAAGTAAACTAAACTGTTCCAAAACCCAAAAAATGTTCATTTTAATTCTAAAAAACCATAATTTAAGCTAAAATAAGACAAGTAAATGCCCTAATTAATGCAAAAAAATTAAGGAGATGAACTGAGTATGACTAAACTCATTCACAGCACATGTCCTAAACTTGTATCAATGGATTTAATATAGTAATGGATTTTCATTGTTTGAAGCCCAAAATAAAAGTTAACACAATTTGTCAATGCTGCTGTATCATGCATAACCATACAGATATCATACACTATACAGTGTGGCTTGCTCTGTTTGTGTTCCAAGAAAAGTCAGGAACAAAATTTCCTTGAAAAAAAGTGTTCAGAATCCAAGATGTTTGAGTTCCAAGGTACCCACTATATATGTTCACAATATTGATGTTGATATTCTAGCTGATAGAATATTGATGTACCAAAACTGATATATGTTTACAGTACTAATATCAATATTCTAAAATCTAGAACATTAACATTTATATTCACTACTTATCAAGATTATCAATATTGATATATTGAAGTAATAGTGGTATCAAGCTCAATACTGTTATCAATATCAAAATTTTGGTTTAGCACAGCCTTACTTAGAATACTTTAGGAAGATATATACTGCATCTTTCAAGACCTTTTAGAGCCCTATAAGCAGGGCTAGTGCTACCATATGGGCAAACTGGGCATTTGCTCAGGAGGCAAATTTTCATGAATTTATACAAAATTTTCAGGCATATTATTTTTTAAAATTTTTATATACATTACATGGCACGAGTTGAATATTGCTTGATGAAGCAAGGTATGGTATTTCAAAATAAAAGATTTTTTATTTTATACAGAGGAGATAAGGGATATCAAATGCACATCTTGTCCCGGTGGCATAAACTCCAGAGCAGTGATTCCTAAACTTTTTTGATCCATCACCCTCTTTGTTTCATAAAGTTATACCCAATGCCCCTAACCCATTTTCTCTTGTGTAAGAAAGGATAGAAAAGTTTTCCTAAGAATATTTCCAATGAATCTCACACTTTGTGCCCTTACCATACATTGTTTTCAACATCTGGAAAACATTAAATGCAATGTTTCCTCTTATCCGTTTAACAGAGGAAAGGGAACGGCTGTCAACAACCCCAACTTTTGCCTTTGGTCACCGTTCAGTACCCTGCCTCTATCACCCCCTTAGATTTACTCACCACCCACAAGGGGGCGTTATCGCCCACTTTGAGAAACGCTGCTCTAGAGCAAGCTCTGCCTGTAAGTGATTTAGCAGAAGAGTAGATATATGCTGATTATACAGTAATTCTGCTACGAGAGTTCATGAATAATCAATAAATAAAACAAAAACTCTTTTATGATTAGAAAAAACAATTTTTACAGTTACTTAACATAATTCACAACAGTACTTTTGAAGTTAGTCATTTTTATGGTTTTGGCAAAGCTTTTCAAAATTATATTACTGAAGAGCTTTTTATAACATTACTATAATTTTTAATTTTTAATTTTTAATTTTTAAAACATTGTATAATTTTTATGAGTCTCTCTTTTTATATGACTCTCTGCTTTTATCTGTAATTTTACATTCGTTGTTTTGGATAATTTCATAAATTTTGTTAAAAAACATGTATAACATTGCTATGAAGAATATAATGCTTTTGGAAATAATCATACATTTTGTACTGGTGCATTTTTGTGATGTTATTTTAAACATGAATTATTTGTAGTTTTGATAATTTTATCTTTTCATTGTAAATATCATTTTATGAATTTTCTCATAGAAATATATT